TGTTAGAGCCATGCAGTACCCCAGCACATATAACAGCAGCTTGGTAGTGGATTTTATCAAGCTTTGACAAGGCCGCCAAGGATGACGGTCCGTAAATGGAGCTACAATAGTCAAAATGAGACGCCAAATATGAATTATACATTATTTCAAGATGGTGCGACTGTATTTTGTTTGATATGAGCTTCAAAGGATTTAACAGTTTTTGAACTTTATTAGACAGATAGTTTATATGGTCATTAAAAGTCAAATTCTCATCTAAGATGAAACCCAGGTGCTTGTGTGATTGCTTTTGGGGGATCATTTCACCATCAAAGTAAAGCGGAGACTTTGAATATTTTTTGTCTGGTTGGGCGAAAAACTAAATGAGCACTTTTAGATGCTTTAAATTTCAATTGCCAGGTTCTAGACCATGCACTTAAAAAATTTAGGTCATTTTGGAGTTGGCCAGTTTGATTACCAGAAGGGTGGAAGAAAGAGTATAAGGAGGTATCATCTGCATAGATAAAAGTTTTCGAGGTCAGAGTGTCAGGGAGGTCATTTATGTATATCAGAAACATCAGGGGTCAGATTATGGAGCCCTGAGGCACACCGGAGTTTATGAAGTGGTCAGGAGAAAAGTTTGATGTGTGATCATCTACAGTGACACAGACTTTTCGATTTTCTAAGTAAGAAGAGCAGAGGTCAGCTAATTTACCTTGAATTCCATATGATTTCATCTTGTGAATGAGTAAGTTATACGGTACAGTATCAAAAGCAGACGCCACGTCTAAATAAACAGAATTAACACAGTTACCTTTTTCCATTTCGTTAAAGATATAGTCAGTTATTGCTAAAAATTGTAGCTCAGTGCTGTGTCCTGGAAGAAATCCAGATTGAAATTGATAAAGAAGGTTATTTTCAAGTAGATGCGTTAAAATGCGATTATGCACAACTTTTTCAAAAATTTTGGAAAAAGTGCTTAGCAAAGTGATCGGTCTATAATTTTCAACTTGAGATCTATCAGACTTCTTATAGATTGGAGAAATGTTTCAAAGTTTCCAGCAACTAGGAAATTGGCCACATGCAAAAATTATGTTAAACAATTTTGATAACTGGAAGGATAATGCTTCCTGGGCTATTTTTGTCATTCTGTTATTAATTTTGTCAAGACCACAGGCTTTATCGCGATCAAAGGACTGGATTATTTGAAGAATTTCATCTGGATTGGTAGATAAATGGTCAATTGATATTCCAGTTCTATTTGGAAAATGTGGAAGTGCATCGTTATCCACTTGGTTTAAATTATGATATTTTGAAGAAAAAAGTTAAGGAAACACTCAGCTTTTTCACCCTCAGTTGTAGCTATGTGATCTGAAAAATTGCACTTCAAACTAGGGAGTAAAGCATGAAAAGTTCTGGATAGAAAAGAATTGACTATGTTCCAGTATTGTTTTCCTTTACAGGTTGATTCATTAATCTGTTTTACAATATTTTCCTGGTAATTTAATTTTGCCTCTTTTATTAAGGATTTGACCTTTTCAGCTTGAGCAGTGTAGTTGTCAAAAATAGTTGTGTCATTTTTTGATTTGGTTTTCCGATAAAGTCGTTCTTTCTTATTGATTTCACGTTTAATTTTTGAGTTCATCCAAGGTTGATCATTTGCATTTGAAATTGTTGTTTTTTGAGGAATGTATTTTGAAAATATGTCAAAAATATGACAAGAAAAGCTTTCAGTTGTAACATTAATGTCTCTATTACTCTGATTATATAGTTCAGTCAGGTCAAAATTACGAATGTTGGAATTTATACCCTCAATATCAGCCTGGTCATATTTCCAAATGGTTTTCTTTAATTTGTGTCTCTTACTCAGTTTTAATGGAAGAGTGGTCAAAATAGTAGAGTGGTCAGTATTACCAATAGGGTCAGAAACAACCAATTCCCTTACGAAAAAAGGCTTGTTTGTAATAGAAAGGTCAATGCAGGTTCTTGAGTTTCTTGTTATTCTGGTAGGCTCTTTTACTAACTGGATAAGATTTAAGTTGGATAAAATAGAGTCAAGTTTATTGCCTCTCGAGTCAGTAGTACCTTCAGGCCACAATTTTTGTTGTTTGGAATTGAAATCACCATTTATAATTAGGTGGTCACATTTTATCTTGGATGCTTTGGAGAGATTTTCCCTTAGATGGTCAAAATAAGCATTTTCCTCATTTACATTCATACTAGGAGAGCGATAATGTACACCAAATAGTATTGAAGTATTTCTAATTTTGATATTAACCCAAAGACTGTTATCAGTATTCAAATCCGGCATGGGAATGTAGGTAAGGTCAGATTTAATGTATATCATGAGCCCTCTACCCCCTTGATGATAAAGAGGAGAGTGATAGTCAGGAAGTAAATAGTTTTCAGAAATAATCTTGTCATTCAAATTGCCTACTTCACAGAGTACAGCTACCGATACCCCATGTTTTCTTAATCTATGTTTAAAACTTTCAAACCTGATACCTTCCCCACTGCTTATGCTGTTTATGTTTGAGAAAAGGAACTTGAGATCATGCTGCATGGTACATGTAGAGTGAGGACCAGGATGCGTTTCAATGTCGCCGGCCTGCAAGATTAAATCACTTTGGTCAAAAATGTAGACTGAAGTTTGAAAAATCAAAACAGTGAGTGTGAAATTGTCAAAAATATTTGCATATTTTACATTGCCTATAAGCTTCATAAGCATTTGCATTGACATAAATAATGTAACAAACATGACTGTTAACAAGTATATTATGACCACAATAGCCATGAGCCTAGTAAATTCATTAAAAAGTTTATTGTAATTATTTGTCAAATCAATGCAGGAAATTATATCTAAGGTGAGTAGAATAAGGTATATAAGCATTAAGACTGTTACAAAACTTGGACTTGACATTTGCCTCTTAGTAACATTGTTTTTGATTCTCAAACCTGGTATTTTGATTCTCGAGTTAAAAATTCCAATTCTGCTTCGCCACGACTGAATGTCGACTTGCACCCATTAACCTATGCCTGACTTGACTGCACTTTTGGTTAACTGAAAGGTATATATGCTAGTAACAAATGGTAAAAAGCTAAGTAAACAGTATTTAGAAATGTAAAAGTAATCCCCATCCCCAACCCAACCTCTATGATTGATAATTTCCAAAAGTATGCACACATGTAGTGTGTGCATGACAATAAGGAATATGGGTGTTATGCAACAAAGGTTTTTTGATGCAAAGATATAGGAAGTACAACTCAGTTATGGAATCATAATTTCAGTAGCAAAGTACCAATTTCACGATAAAAAGTAGCCTGGTAGCCAGCAAAATGGACTACATGACACATGAAATACAGTGGGCAGCAATATTAAAACAAAAACAAAAACAGTAATACATGGCAACAATACAAAACTTGCTTGTGATTCATCATAATCATAGTGTATGGTTGCAAGCTACTGTACATTTATACATTACAGTATATAAACTCTAATAGAGTAATACATACTGGAGAAAAATAAATCATAAATAGTAAAATGTTAGTCAGGCTCGTTTATAAAATTCGAAAAACGAACTTCTCCAGTAATTCTATTTACAAAGGTGTTCGTTGAGAACATCATTATATACAGAAGGAAAAAGAACTCACCGTGTTTTTAGATTCAAAAGACAAAAACGTGAAATATAAATTTGATAAAAGCACACTTCCGGTTTCCGGAAGGTCAAATAGTCACGTGACAGAGAGATGTAAACAAAACAACTGGAGAAAATCGTCAAGTTAAGCACGAGCAGCAGCTAATTAAGGCATTCATTTGTCAGTGAGAAAAGTTATGTTCGGTTATTTTAGGAATCTATATTGATAGTTTATACATTGATGTAACTTTCTGCATGGAGACCAGCGTTTTCTATAACTTAATCAACAAGGGTAACAGTGGTGAGTGAGGGAATGTTCACGAGAAAGTTATGGCAATCGCCCAAGCACACCTAGGTAATTAAGACCTGGCAATGACAGAGTCAATAGGTGGAATTACACCTACGATGTAAAAGCGCTTTTTAAAATCCTATCGGGTTTCGACCCGCCTTTAGAGTCAGGTGTAATCACGATCGCGGATTTAGAAAAGCGCTTTTGTAATCCTCCCAGACCCCTAGTCATTAAAAACCGCTTTCATACCCAAAGGCGGTTTAACGTGTAGGTGTAATACCGATTGGTTTTCAAGGCGCTTTAACGCGATTTTACACTGAACGAAAACTATATTTGCGCATGAGCATCAAGCATGTTATTGATTTCCGGTGTGGAGGAAACTTCAAAAAACAAAATTCAAATATTGTGCAAAACTCAATCAAATCACCAAAATGTCGAAACAAAGTAGAATGTATTGGGACCACGTCAATACTGAGCGTATGCTTTCGATTTGGGCTGACAAAAAGATCCAGGCCATGATGAACGGCACGTTAAAAAATGCGATTGCGTATGACCTGATCTCGCAGGAAATGAAAGTAAGCCTAAGCTTAAGTTAGGATAAATAATTTCTCAAAGATCCAACCCTCCAGTTACCCTATGGGCCTACTGTACAAAGATTATATAACCACAGATTTTGAGAAAAGCTACCCTATATCCTGTACATAGTTCAGCAATGCTAAACTCCCCCAGACTTATTTAACGATTTTGAGATTATTTGATGTCTGGCTGTACATTATCTGATTATGGGTGAAATAGGGATAGGGTCTCATATACATGTAGGGCAGGCCTGTCAACTGTCCCGCAATTTGCGTATTTGTCACGCATTTGCTGAAGAATTTGAAGTCACGCCAGTTATTTTTGCGTGACAGAAAATGTCACGCAAATACGCATTTTACCTGGTAATTGTCAAGCAAAAATATTTCTGTAGAAGATTTTCTAAAAAAGATCGTCTACACAGCAAAAATACGAACGACGGGAAAAAAACGTACGCATTTAGTTCGGACTTTTCACGCGAATTACGGATATGTCACGCATCCCGTTCAAAATATTTCGTACTTACCCCCAGGGCTTATATACGAGAAATTCCGGTACTATTGTAGATTGGAGAAGGCGAGGGGAGGGGATGATTGAATAGTTGAAATTACCTCTCTACAATGAAGTCAAAAAAATGACGAGATCTTTGTCTTGTCCAAATCGTTCGTTCCTGTCCCATATTACCAAGGATGCCAAACAGCCCCAACAAAAGTACCATCTTCATTTTACTGGATCTCTCTTGGATCTCTCCTAACGATCGAGCTTCTCTCTTTGCGCGCTTGTGCATTGTTTTCCATGCTTTCTTTAGCACATATTTGTTAACGCCAGAGGTAGATTGAATACGATTTAAGAAAAAAAGGAACATACAGTATCGGATCATTTTGAATCTCCAGAGATGGCGCTACGGTTGAAAGTGTATATCTAAATAGCAGATTTTGATGCAAATGCGATGGTTGATGGCAAATTTTTGTCTTAAATCAGTCTAAAAGCGCTTTAGAAAAATCAAGTGTAATCACGAAAAGTTGTCTTCAAGGCGCTTTTAAAATTCTAGCCTACGTTACCCAAAACGCCCTGAAAACGCCTTTAGCCATGAAATAGGTGTAATTCCCCTAAATGTTATCGTAGATTGAGAATACTTTGATTGTACCAGATTTGAGTTTACCATACACTTTCATGTTATTGTACCATGCTTGATCAATATCGTTGTGCTGCTTGACTTCTTTCAGTAGTACTCTGTTTCTCGGACTAAGATCATGGTAAATTCTCACATTGGTGCCTTTTAGGTGGCGCTTGTTTGACATTACTTTGTCCTTAACAAGTCGGTCAAAGAATTTGGCTATGATTTGTCGTGGCTTCCCATCTCTTCCAGGCAAACGGTGGGCAATTTCAATGTGGTCAGGTTCAATCATAGCTCCTGCTGGCAGGTGATCATTTAGGGTTTTACAGAGAGTGTCAATACACTTTTCAACAGACGCATTTTTGTCATCAGCGATCCCAACGGCACGTAATGTGGATTTCCTGCTGTATTGAGCATTATGATTTACCTCAAGGGCTAGCTGATCTTGCTTAGCAGTCATATCAGTATGGGATTTCTCCAATATCATGATTCTGGACTTCAGAGTGTCATTTTCTTCACGAAGTTGTTTTAGATCAGTAGATAGCTTTATCGTGGATTTTTCAATTTCATGCTTCACCATATCACGCATTTGAGACATTATCTGGGTGTTATTTTCATTAAGTAATGTTCTCATAACGGTAGTAAGAGAGAGGATAGTTACCGGTTGCTCAGAATCCATTTCATGTGGATCGTCTGTGGTGCATGTACCTGAGGATGCTTCATCAAGAGCTTTCTCAAAAACGTCATCGTACGGTACTGGCGAAGTTTCACTGTCCTTACTTGGGAACCCCGCTTCTCGTCTATTTCGCTTCACGGGTATAGTTATCGAGGATGGCTTATCAAAGTCCTGTGCAAGTTGTCCACCATCTTGGTTTTTATCAGCACGAATTTTGACGAAGTCAGTAATCGCCGGTTGGTTGTCCTGTAGTTTGGACATGGTCTCAACTAATCTGCTTAAACAAAAAGTAATTACTCCTAGTCTTTTACAACGTATATTTGTTCTTGGCGCCCGGTGCTGAAGCTGCTCTTGCCTTTTTGACAATAGCTCGTACCTCGTCAAGCTTGAAACACTGTGACTAGTCGATCTATGTGGATGCAGTCAGGCACATGTAATGTTTCGTGAGTACCCGCCTCTGTACTTTTCAATGGAAGAATTTTGCACTTCTGTTTAAATAATCTATATTTACTCATCCGTGTATATCATACTTCATTGAAATAGAAAACCAAAGCTACACTATAAACACACATTCTCTGATATTTTTACGAAGAATAGATAACTCAAACGAGTTCACTCAACCAGTTTTATCATCTCGCTCATAGCTGTGAGAAGGTATGTATAATTTGCCATAGGTTTACCTTGTAATGGGGAATAAAAAATTCAAGTAATATAATTATTTCACAAACACAAATATGTCTGTGTGAAGTAAAATACAAATACAATGCGTCCTATAATATTTTTGGGGTTATGTTATGAAATATCCGCTTTAAAAAAGCAATTTAATTATGATGTATCATGTGGATTAGTAGACGTTCTGATTGGATTCATTGAACAGACTGGCTAGGTTTCGATTGAATCATTTTGAATGTGTGTATTTTTAATATTTTAATCCACGGTGTCCAAAAACAATAATAACGCTATATTGGTAATTGGAAATATTTCCACTTACCACGATTTCAAAAAATTGTAAATAAATAATATTATTCTTGAATTATGGTCATTTGTTTTAAGGAATCTGGAGGCTCGTTCAGCTGAGCTGACAAAATCAATGGATGGTCCAACTGTTGGCTGCTCATTGTCACTTTCAAGGAATGTTAATGGCTCTGAAACTTGTAGCCTTGCCCAAGTCGGTATTTATTTACTCATCTGATCTTGAATTATTACCACCTAGTACAATCCAATGCATCATCGCTGATATTATGCTAAGTTATTCAGCGGTTCCGAGATTCCCATAATACCTTATAGGCTACCTAAGGGTATCGCAAAACCATATTGATTGACAATATGGACATGGACACAACGTGTGACTTCAGGCTGATTGACCAATCAAAACGTTATCAGGTTGACCTGCATAAAAAGCAAACTACCCGTCTAGGACTTGAAATTCAATGATTTGATCGAGTGTTTCTTGAGAGTTACAATATATTATGTTATTAAATGTACATTGGAATGTAAGCAGTCATTAATACTCGTCCAAATGAAATCATGCAATTCAATGTTGAAATCAAAACTGAATTCGTGATGGAAATGCACGAAGACCTAGTCCGACAATGTAGGGCCGTCGTTGATTTGTCAAATTTTACCGACAAAAACATTGGGTCGGTAAAGCACGTGGCTTTCTCTTGGGTCAAGGCGGTTATAATAGAAATCAAGATAAGTAAAAGAGACTGACTTGGGCAAGGCTATGAAACTTGATTTGTGGGTATTCCAGTGGGTCGATGGGTCTTTTGCTCTGAATTCACTTCATTGGCGTACCTAATTTCAACATTTTCATTGTCATCATTACATGTTATGGACCCGTTTTTCAAATTAACAGTAATAGCGATAAAACCATGGTTTTTGAGCCTATGGGATCGACCAGGTGTCCGTCCATTGGTCCGTCCATCCGTTGCTCCGTCCGTCTGTCAACATTGGCTGCACAAATTAGAACTGCTATTCGGATTGAGTCATTTTCACATTCATTTTATCCATAATGAATATTTGACATATAATCGCCATTTCCCAAGTTCGGCCGGTTTCCGAGAAATTGCTGATTTTTAAATTTCTAGAAAAATCGATCTGATGATAGCCTTATAGAAAGTCAAGAGAAGTGAAGAAAAGATTGAAAAAATACCAGTCCAGTCCATTTCCAGGTCCAAGTCCAGGTCTAGGTCAAAGTCAAGGTCCAGTTCAGGACCAAGTCAAGATCTAGGTCTAATCAGGTTTAATCTAGGTCAAAGGTCAAGAACTAGGTCAAAACCAGTATTTTGTCATTTTTTCAATTTTCTCAGTCGTCCTTTAATATTTTTGCTCCGTTTTTTTAATCATGTTCCTTTGAAAAAAGCTAATCCCTACAGGCAAGTTGTTTTTGATCACTCTTACCGGTTTTGAGATATGGCATCCGAAAAGTAGGTCACAATAAAAAAAAGTTCTTGGAATTCAATGTATGAGCTATGAAATATGTGAAGAATTGTCCAAGGAATCCGAATCTGCAAACAAGATTTTGATCCGACTTACGGTCGGAAGCTATGGCATTTTGAAATCTCAAAAATCGCTATTTTGGTATCCCATGTTAAGTCAATGGGGCTTGAGAAAATTATCAATTGTAACAACACAACACTAGATACAGCTTGGATGCAGCCAACTTAATAAGAATCTACAATAGAAGCCGTCCTCAAAATCTACTTTCCTTCAAAATTTGGACACTAAAAGGCCTATGTCAAAATCTAGGTCAAATTCATAGTTTTTCCTTTGACTACTACAAATCATATCTGAACCAACAACAAAGGACTCATCTTTTATTGATCTCATATTTACCAATACTTTTGTTTGAAAATCAGGATATACATTCCTCTGAAGGTTCTAAACTGTGAGAGCACAGGACCGTGGGTCCTTTATTTCATCTGTAATGGCATTTTCTAGTTGATGGGTTTATATATAGTATTTTTCATGAGTGTGTCTTTAGACTACTTGTAGTGGGGTGGCTAATTACTTTCCTGAATGAGGAATGTTTATCCAAACAATGGATACAAAGAAAATCTGGCCAGTTGTCCATCAGTAAATAAATCATCATGATAAAAGTATAATTTATTAAAGCATCCATTTGTTACCGTTCTGAATCCAAATGATACATAGGTACATCCATTTTATACATATATGTTGACGTTTACGAAATGTTTTTCAAATATCTTCCCTATAACAGGAATATGGTAGCTGAAACTTTCACACATTGTATGTATATACATTGTATGTATATTGAATATGTATGCAAGATTTCAAGTCACAATGTTAAGTAGAATCTCTGAGATCACTTACCTTGATTTGCTGTCATATTTTTGCAATGATCCCATTCCCTATAATGTACGCGAGTACCCACGAAACATTACATATAAATGACTGCATCCACATAGATCGACTAGCCACAGTGTGAAATCTGACTGGTCAAATGGTGAAGTTGGTATATCTGGTGGGATGTCAATCGGAAACTCGCCTAATGGCAGCTCTCTATCTGGGTCACTGTGTGCTGCTGCAATACTTGCTTCCACTTCCTCCTGTGTGCTGGAAAGACGGCCACTCTTTGGTTTCCCTAGTAAATCTGATGTGAACTTGTATGGGTTTTCAAAGAAGGCCTTCCTTGTTCTATGCTTCTCTCGTTGTCTTTTCCTGAGAGACTCTACTTTGCAAAGATGAAGAAGTCTCTTGTGAAGAATCTGCTGGAGTTCTCTAATTCCATCTCTTTCGCTGGCCAGTGATGAAACTTTCCATCGACGCTGAAGGCTACGCCGCTCTTTTCGAAGGGAAGCTATCTCCGGCTGTCTTCTACTTGGCCCTGCATGGTGCTATCTTTCTGATGTTTCACTGACTCCAAACTTCTCTTCACAAGTTTCGTAAATGATTCTGGTCATAGTCTCTACCTTTCCCTTTGAGTTTCCTCGTAATGTGTTTGTGAGGATAGTGTCAAGCTCCTCGTCGAGTTCTATCCATCGCTTGTCAGTTGCTGCAAGTAACTTTAGTCTGGGCTTCCCCCCTTGAACGAGGTGTTCAATTGGGCTAGGTAGACTCTGAATGAGAGGATTAGCTTCAACTAGAAGGTCTGGAGCACTGTGGTGTGTCTCCTGGCTACAAACCTTCACCGAATTATTAGCAGGATCTACAGCCTTGGCTCGCGCTTCAGCTGAAGACCTGCTTGAAGTTGTTTTAGCTTTTCCTACCTTCATGTATATCCTAGAATAACTATCCTAACTGGATTGTCAGGTTCTGAGAATGCTGCTGCCATCTTTGAATAAACTCTAAATTATCAATGATATAATTATAATTTATTGTGATAACGAACACCTCTCAATCTGAATGGCTTTAACTGGTCGCGGTGGCATTTGGATAAGACAGGTTTTACTGTAGTAATAGTAATACTGGAATTTAAAAAAAATCTGAAGGCCTAGTCAATCTAAATTTAGGAAATAGTGTCAGCTATTTGAAATGAAGTCTCTATAATTATTTTTTTGATTTATACAATAACAAGAATCTAGCTACTCAACTTTAGTTCAAATTCCAATGCTCTGGCCTTGGCTAATCAAAACAGTTCATTTCATCAACGCTCTCTATATCATAATTATTTCACATGCAAATACTGTACTGCCACTAATATTTGATGCTGTTATCTTTTACATTTTTGCAATTTTGCGGATATCAATTTTCGCTAATTATAATTTTTTTATAATTTTGTATCTATCTATTTCACCATTATTTTATTTTTCAAAAAATTTTCCAGCTTATTTGATTAAATGTTTTTAAAACCAAGAAATGTGAAGTAAACAGTGCCTTCTTACCTTTAATTATTGCTATACCGTGTACTTAAAGCCTTTATATGACACCTATCAGCTATCAGCCGCTTCAAAATCATAGGTGAAACTAAACTATTGAAATCAAGTGCTCACTTTAATTTTTTTTATTTTCTGTTTGGGAAAATCTGTTAGTTATCAGCTGCATTTTGTCAGTCAAGATTTCTCTTCATCAAATATCAAGGAATGTTTAGTCAAATATCAAGTTGTTCAGGAATTGAACTCAATTCAAAGAATGATTAGTTCCATAGTATAAACATATACAACTTTGATCAATATTGGTATCAGCCATTATGTTACATTAAAAAAACACAGAATGTAAAAGACTTTCATGTAAGCAGGGAATTGCTTGAAAGAATACTAAAGGTTTCGCAACAGAATTTAGACAGTCATATGTTGAATTGCAGTAATTTTCTGAA